ATCTGAGACTTGAAATTTCTTTAAGGAGCTTTGAAAATTTTTAGTATATTTCTGGGAATCTAGAAGGCTATATGCATCCCTGGGCTTGTGCATATACTCAAAAAATACGGGGAAAGTCCTTAATTTCTCAGCTTTGCTTGACTTTGAGGTTCTGGACAAGCAAGGACAAGGCAGAGTTAGAAACTTCCTGGCTGAATGTTGAAGGTTTGTTCCAAATACTCACACACATTTCTTTACCAAAGACAGCAAAGCTTATTGGTCTTAGATATTTAATGAAATTTCTGTCCAATCATTATTGACCGCTAAACTCACTGAAGTGAAGAGTCTAGTAACCATACATGACAAAGGACATAAACTTGACAGAATTAATTCAGAATCAAACCAACAATAATAATAAATCCAGGGAGATAGGAGAGCATCTGATTTCCAGAGTTGTCAAGTTATGTTTTTTAATGTTCAGGTTTTTTAATGTCTATAAAATTATGAAACATGCAAAAAAAACATATCTGGAGGAAAAGCAGTAAATTGAAACTCCCTGGGAGAATAATGTTGGACTTATTAGACAAAGGTTCAAGTTATCTATTCTAAACATATTCAAAGAACTAAGAAAAGAAAGTATGAGAAAGATTTCTCACTATATAAGGAGATAGAAATTATTGTGTTTTTTAAAGACCCAAATAGAAATTCTGGAGTTGAATAATACAATTACCTAAATAAAAAATTCACTAGAGTTCAACAGCAGGAGTTGAGTGGGAAGAAGATAGAATTGATAAACTTTAAGATAGGTCAATTGAGACTATTTAGTCTGAAGAAGAGGGGAAAAATAATAAGAAAATAAATAAATAAACAAAGCCTCAGAGATCCATTGGACACCATAAGTACATGGTGGTAGTTAGCAGAAGGAAAGCAGAAAAAAGAACAGAAAGAATATAAAGAAATAATGGCTAAGAACTATCCAAATTTTATTTTTTAAAACCATTAAGCTACACATTTGAGAAACTTAAAACACAATGAAAAACTCTAAGTAGGATAAGCTAAAAGAGATTCACACTTAGACAGATTATGATAAAATTACTGAAAAATAAAAATAGGGAATCTTGAAAACAACAAGAAAGAAGTGAATCATTATATACAAGATACTATATTTTACAAGTGTCCCCCCTGAGGCCCATGTGTTAAAGGGTTGGTTCCTAGCTTATGGCACTATTGGAAGGTGGTAGAACTTTTAAGAGGTGAGGACTAGTTGGAAGTCTTCCAGCCATATGAGGGCATGCCCTTGAAAGGGATATTGAGACACTCATCCTTCCTCTTTTTCTCTTTTTGCTTCTCAGCCTCCATGAAGTAAGCAACTTTGCTGTAATACATGCTCCCACCATAATGTACTGTCTCACCACAGACCCAAAGGCAACAGGGGCCAAGTGCTATGGACTGAAACCATGCACCAAAGTAATCCTTTTCTCCTTATAGAAGAATATACTGAGATTTGTCTTGGCTAACACATGTGGGATTCTCAATAAGAGTTATAGCTGACTTCTCATCAGAACTTATGGATGCCAGAAGGCAGTGGATGACATATTCAAAGTTATGGATCAAGAATTCTATCTCTGGGGGCTGGGGTTGTGGCTCAGAGGTAGAGCGCTCAATTACCATTCGTGAGATGCTGGGTTTGATCCTTAGCACCACATAAAAATAAAATAAGGATATTGTGTCCACCTATAACTGAAAAATAAATATTTTTAAAAAAGAATTCTACCTCTAACAAAACTATACTTCAAAAATGAAGCAGAAATTAAGACATTCACAGATAAATAAAAAACAGGATTTTTCAGAGCAAACCTGCTCTACAGAAGTTTCTAAAGGGAGTCCTTCAGACTGATATAAAAGGACACTAGACAAAAACTCAACACCAGAAGAAGAAATAAAGAGCACTGGTAAAGATAAGCACATAGTAACACCCATAAGAATGGGACTCTAACTAGAATAAGATATTTTCCATGCTTGTATAATTATATCCAGATTCTGCTGTCATGTATAACTAAAAAGAACCAATAAATAAAAAAGAAAAGTACTTAGTAAATAATATGTGATGAACATATAACTTATGTGTAACACATATGAATGTGACAACTATAAAAGAAGGAGAGAGGGAATGGAACTCTTCAGGAGCAAAGCTTTGTATAACTCTCAAAATTATGTTGTTAATCTGGTTAAAAATTAAGACGTGATCCTCAGGTAAACTATTGAGAAAATAGTTTAAAACAATCTGTGGTACAGATGGTTTAACAAATCCAGCAAAGGCTCATTGGTGCATACAAATAGTAGCAAAACCAGAATGACTTTGAAAAATCTCTGAAGAGAATTAATTATTCATTTAGGATGTTGTTTTTATGAATTTCTCAGTATACAGTAATTGGAAAAGCAAGCAAGGTGTTCTTTCATTCATTTTAGATTGAGGTCCTCCTATGTGTCAAACACTGTTTGATGCTGTGTAATACTGCTTATCTGAGTCTGGCTTGATGAAGAGCATTCCTTATGAACTTGTAACTTCTACCAAACTCCCTTCTGTTATTCTAATTTCATAATGACTCAGTGTCCTTATTAATCACCTTCATACCCAGTCTGGTCTATTTATTCATTCCATAAATATGTTGAATTCCTGTTATATGCTGTCCACTGTAAATGAAGTGGTGAACAAGGCAGACTGAGTTCTTGCCTTATGGAAACTTACATATAATGTGTAATATAATGTTTTGTATATAATGTAATGATAATGAGTGAATATACCAGGAGGAAAAACAAAACCAGGGTACGAAGATGAATGCTTTTAAACAAGGTGGCTGGGAAAGAAATCTTTAAGAAGGTTACATGTAAGAAGAGATCTAAATACAATACAGAGACCTGGAGAAATTTTCCAGGAAGAGGAAACAACTACAGAAACTGAAGTGGGAATGAGCAAAGAGTCTCTTTGAGGATGAGTGAAGCCAGTGTGAATTGAAATCTCTTCATTCAGCACGTCGTGGATTCAACATGCACCTTCATGCTTCTTGACGCAATTTATATCTTTACCTGTATCACTAATATTAAGTTACAAGAACCTTCTAATGTTCTTCTTACCTAAGTCTGTGTCCCCTACAATTCCTTCTAAGCTCCATTGTCAGAATGGCTTTTCCAGAGTGATTTTATCATGTCACTTTGTAATTAATAAAACTTCTTCCCGATGCTAAGAAGACAGGTCTCTATACTCATAGAGCTTATATTCTTGAGGGATCAGACTGACCGTAAACAGATAAATGTCAAGATAATTTCAGATAATAGTAAATGTCAAGAATAAAACAGAGAAATAGTCATGGAGGAGACAACCTGAGATGCTCTAGAAAATCCGGGGCAATCTGTTCCAGCAGAGGGAACACCAGACGCCAAGACTCTAAGGTGGGGCTTTTTGAGGCTGAACTTCATGTCATCTCCTTTGAAAAGTCTTCCTCAATGCTCTTGGGAAACAAGCTCATCTGAGTGACTAATTCAGTGCTCATATTTATATTTCAGTGTTTGTCAAAATTGTCAAGTTTATCTCTCTCCAATAGACTAAGTCTATCAAGTACTGAAAAACTGAGTACAGAAACCCTATCTAATAAGTCATTTGGCTATCTGTAGTTGTTAATAAGTTATCTGTGGAACTGAACTGGATGAAGCTTAGTGTACTAATCTGGAAGCTAAAATCATCCATTAATTGAGCTGCAATCCAACTTGAACTCATTGTCATGGCTCCTGTTAAGCCACCCTCACTGTCACTATCTCTCTGGGTAAAATCTGGCTGTTGGCAAATTTTGATAAATCAACATTAAATAAATATAAAATTGTAGAATTCAAATTATTGTGTGCCTCGTTAGAATAACTTCAAGAATTAACATGCATCAACTCTTGGACTGAATTAATCAATTACCTCTCTGAAAAACTGCTTAGACTTTTAAAATTGATACTGACGATACTGACTTGTGAACAGGCTTTATCTTGATTTCAGAAGTTTTTGTTGAAAGATGTTAGTCAAAAGACTGTCACTAATGGAACATTCATTCTATTGCTATTATTTTTAGGTGCTTCTATGTGCCAAGTATAGTACCTCTTTCTGGGTATGTGAGGTTAAAGAAGTGCACACATCTTTGTGTGTTTACCTTTGTGGAATTTGTGGTCTTGTCAAGACACAGTAAAAAACAAGAAAACAAACAAACCAATGTATAATGACAGCTTATGATACACACTATTGAAGACACAAACAGTATACAGGCAGAGAATAGCAAGGGAGACCTTTGCTTTGGGTAGTCCAGGAAGGCTTCCCTAAATAAGTGATTTTTTGTTGGGGGGGAGGGGAGGGGGGCGAAATGGCACATTCCTGTAATCCCAGCAGTTTGAAAGGCTGAGGCAGGAGGATCCCGAGTTCAAAGCCAGCATCAGCAACAGCGGGGCACTAAGCAACTAAGTGAGATCCTGTCTCTAAATAAAATACAAAAAATGACTAGGGATGTGGTTCAGTGGTTGAGTGCCCCTGAGTCCAATCACTAGCACCCCCTCACAAAAAAAAAGTGATATTTTAAACCGACCTCAGTCGTGCAAAAGAGGAACAGATCTCACAGCCTTTAACAAATTCTAGATAATTTGCTTAATTTTGAGAGGTAGTTCACAATGTCTTGTGGTTATTATATTTTTCTATGTTCTTAAGAAAAAAAAAAGACTTTTTAGCAGAGAGCAGTGGTGCACACCTGTGATCCCAGCTACTGGGGAGATAAACAGGAGTTTCACAAGTTTGACGCCAGCCTCAGCACTTAGCAAGACCTGTCTCAAAGTAAAATATGATGTAGTTCATTGCTTGTCTAGCATATGCAAGGCCCTCAGTTCAATCACTGGTCCTACAAAAAAAAATGTGTATTTTTTTAGCTTTGTCCTACAACTAATCAGAATTCACTGCATTTATAATATAATATGTCATTATAAAATAAAACACTTACCAAAGAGATGAGGCTGTGTTCTTTATATCCCTTGAGCATGATCTTCGTTCATTCAAGTTGGGTTAAATGACAGCATTTGTAGCTGTGTTTCCTAATGACACTGATCCCTCTGGTAGTTCCAAAAACACACTCTTGAAATCATGCAGTTTGTCTCGTTAGAACTTGGTGTCTGTGGATCACCTGGGGACATTTAGGTTGGAGCTTGGTGATGGGTCAGTTCCATGGCCATAGGTCTCATACCAACCCTGACCAGCAACTCTCAGCTTTGTTCTGTAGTTCTTATCAAGGCCAATATTTCACAACCTCACAGAGGTGTTGCAGGAAAGCACTCAGCAGTCGGATTAAATGTTTCATTCTGAAGCACTTGAAGCACTGTCCCCACTCTCCTCAGAAGCAGGACAAAGGTAGGGCAGAAGCAGCATGAGATGCACACAGCTACTGACGGCTGTGCCCGAAATCAGAAGCCCCCTCTGAGAGAGATGATTGCTTAATAGCTCCTTATGGCTGTGTACCCCTGAACTGGACAGGGAAATTATTGCAAATTCCAGTGACCTAAAAAACACATGCAAGGGACCCTCCCTGGGTGAGGGAGTGTGTTTTAATAAAGAAGGAGAACTCAATAGTCACAGGACAGAACTCAAGAATTCTTTGAGTCAGAATTCACTATAAAATTTCAGTTAATCAGAAATTTTATGGAAAATAAAAGCTTTATGACTGCATTGCTCTATATAGTAGCCACAGGCCACATGTGATTATTAAGAACTTGAAATGCAACTAGCACAAATCAAGATATTCTTTGAGATATTCTATACACTTAATTTTGAAGACTTAGCACTGAGAGAGCCCAGATGTAAAATGTTTGGAATATATTGGGCTCAGAAAAATATATACTCAAAATCAATTTCATCTGTTTCCTTTTGCTTCTTAAAAAATGGCAACTAAAAAATTTAAAAATCACATATGTGACTCAAATTATTTTTCTGTTAGTCAGCACTGGTATTATAAACTGAATTACCCAAAGAAATCCTTTGTTATTTCAAGATTACTGAAATTTTTTCTAACATGTGTTGTTCATTTTCTGGTTTTAATGAGCAAAGTCATTAAACTCTGTAGCTAATGTAATTGGGTCTGTTTTGAACAATGTGTTGAATGATTGTTCATCATCAAAGCTTTGTTCTAAACATTTCTCCATGGCCTCATTATCCTGAGAATGGGAATAGTGGTTCTTCCACAGTGACCTTGCCCTTGGAAGAGCCCTGATGTTGGGGCTCTCTGCTTCACAGATTCAGAACAAGGGCCTTGGGGTTTTCTGGCTGAGATCTTAAGGACCTATTTCTCAAGAGTTGGTAGAAGAACACTTCTTTCCAGAAAGACAGGCTTTTCCATGTCATTCTGTGTGACACCTTGCTAATTCATCTTTTCACCTCCCAAGATCAAGCTAACCCATATATTTGTCATAGATTGGGCTCCAAACCCAGGAAGAGCCATGAAAGCTAGGTGGGTCCCCTCACCAGGAGCCAAGAGGTATTGGGAGTGGAATAAGGAGCAATGTGTTCATCACAGAGACACAATATGAACTTATCTTAAGCTGCATCTCTCTCAGTCCTATGGTGGCTTTCCCCACTTTTTTTTTTTTACTACCTACAAATGGTCAAGCTCTAGAGGAACAAGTCAAACTGTTCAAGTTCACTTCATACTCCAAAGACAACTTACCAATTTTTATGAAGAAAAAAATTTCCAGGGATCAGAACATTTGAGTTAGAGTCACTTCACTCTTCTTTCCTTGAAAAAAAAAAAAGGCTATTTAGAAGAAAAATTCATCAACAGGAAGGGGTTGTTGGATAGGCAACGGTGGTATATAGGAGAGATAGAACGATAACCCAACCATTGGAAAAGGGATCAATGGACACCCTAGGAAGAGTTAAACTATAAAGTCAAATCACTTAGTGGATCAGAGAAGAATCATTTCTACTGGTTAACTTGGAACACTCAGGAAAATACCTGCTGAGTGCATGCATGTCTAATCTAATAGTGAGACAGAATGATACCCAAGCCAGAGCAAGTCTTGACTGGGGTGGAGCAATGTGTTTATCATCCACAGACTCACAGAAAAGGAAGAGTTTCAGAAACAAACTTTGACGTTTGTTCCATGCTAAGAGAATAGAGGGTGCCTTGACTGCAGGTGACTATCTGAGAATAGCCTCCTTATGCAATGAAGGCAGAGGGATTCCATCTGAGGAGAAGAACACATCCCAGCTATCAGAGTCTAGGTCAACCAGTATCTGAGTCCTAGAAATACGTTCCCTAGTTCTGATTCCAATATCATGAAGCTGATAATTTGATATCCTGTGTACTTTTCAATGGGAAAGACCACGCCAGTGAACTTGGTTTGATTATCTAGTCTGTTTAAGGGTTATATATTTTTAACCTGGTAAATTAATTGGATTTATGGTTGGAGACAGCTGTTGAGCATGGAATTCATTCACATTATGAAGCAGAAAAAATGAATTGTGTTCCCTAATGTACTCAAGAGACAGATTCACTAAGTTCCACCATTATATCCTTGCTATTTTGTGTTACTGAATTCCACTGCCTTTCAATACACCTTTAGCAGTGAGCGTAAGGAATGTTCAATCTGGCTAAGATGACCCACTTGGAATTTGCTAGTTCTATCAGTTGACCACATGCTTTGGACAGCTAGAGGCATAGAGAGGGAAGAGACATTGAGCTATTGTTACCCAAAGTCAGCTTCTGAATTAAAAAACAAAAACTTTATTATCAGACTTTTGATGTATAAAATATAAAATCAGGATTATTATTTATTCATTCATGCATTCAACAAACTGAGCATCTGTTGTATTTCAAGGACATATGTTCATGAATAAAATATACAAAGATATCTGCTCTCAAGAAATTTACAGTCTAAAGGGTAGGCAGGAAAAGACTATCAATCAAAAAAAAAAAGAACTATGTGGTATCTTGGAAAGAAAAATGTGTTATTTAAAATTTTTAAAAATAAAAATAGAGCAGGAGAAGGAAAATCTGGAGTGCTTAACAAGCAGATGGCAAAATTAAAAGGCTTAATTAAGTATTGTCTAGTTCATTTCCACTTTGAGCACAGGCACATGAGAGTAAACAGGTAACCACATATGCTTTTTAAGAGTTAATTTGCAAATACCTATAGACTAGGAAAGAAAGTTGAAAAGAGAGGCATTCTAAAGACATCTTTGTAAATTAGGACCATTCATGAGCCCTCCCTGTATTCTCATCAGGAGCTACTTTAGGACCAACCTTCACACACACTGCTTACTAAATGATTGTTTAATAGTTGGAAGTACTTTGTCTCTGGGCTATTTACCAGTTTGTATTCTCACAAATCAGCACACTCCCTACACCGAGGGCCCAATCTCCCCTCCCAACCCCCATTCTCAAAGGGCAAGAGGAAAGACAGGTTTTCTTCAGCTGCCAATCAGGTCCTTCAGTCACCTTCCATAGCAAAAGATGAGGCATTTTGATGTTCAGTACCTCTTAGACTATCTAAGGTTGCTAGGCATGTGGTTGCTCAGCAACAAAACAGTGATGCTCCAAGCTGTTCCCACCCTGTGCTTTTCCAACCTACACAATCAGCACTTGGTGGGATGGTTTGGGTTGCAGGATTCTTCCTCACATTTCCCAGCCATCTACCTTACTTTTTAAAACATTGCAATGTTGAGTTGCCACTAAAAAATTAAATTAAATTAAAAGCTGAAGGCATTTTTAACAGAGTTAAATAAACTCAACAGGATCAACAATACAGTTTACCCAATCTCTAAACAACATAAATAAGTCCCTTTCAAGGGAATTCAAATCAAAAGCATGACCTTGATATCATGCCTTCCCGCTTAGAGTTTGGTTGAGCCAGAATTCAGCCCACAGTTTGTAATGGAAAATACCTTCTAGTCCCTCAAGGTCATGCATTCAGAACCCCAGTTTCTATCAACATCATTCAATATTACCAAGTCTAAACTCAGGACTTTTCAAAGTTAAACATTGATTATCTTTTCCTTTCTGTATCCTACTTGTGAGGACTAAGCAATCAAATGTGTTTGATAAGTATGCCAGATGAATAAACACAGAAAAGAAATCAAATAAGGAAGCTAACTTGTGTAGTTATTCTGTGCCTTAAAAGGTCGTTGGTTCTTGGTTATTTATGAGCACACCTGGAAACAGGAGTAGGCTTTGGGTTCTCAGTAGACCTCCTAGAGCATGATCTACCTTATGGACGGTGTGAATGGTAAAGGAGACAAGCTAGCTTTTAGGAGCCAGGTCTTAGATTTGTAAATGATGTCTGGGGTCATCCAGGGAGGCAGGTTTTTTTCTCTGAGGCCACCAGCCTAATGTAAAAGTCTGATGCCTTTACCCTAATAGAAATCCATTGACAGTAAAGCTGAGGAAGCCTCAAGAGTCTTGGGAGTTGCCTGGTCACCTCATCCCAGTAGGTAGGACTCTAATTCAGGAGCCACTCAAATTCTACAGCAGAGGTCTCTTGGGTTTCTTTTTAAAAAAAAAAAGAATAGAGACAGCAGGCAGAGAAAAGTGCTAACAATCAATTTATAGGACTCTCCAAGACAAAAAAGAAAACAAAAAGCCAAATTCAGAGGACTTTCTATACTATCTCACTTATGTAATAAACAAAAATAGAATACCTACATAAGTCCTGTATGTGCATGTAAGCATATGGAAATTAGCAAGTCAAGCTGTCAGCAAAACAGTGCTCCAGTTATTTTCAGTCTGAGATGTTTCACATTTGCTCCAAAAGGGATAGAAATTAAACATTCAGCATGCAGAGAAAACCCTTGGCCCTCCATGTGCATAGTTCTCCATCCATGGATTCAACCAACCTCATACTGAAGAGATTTGAAAAACAATTACATTTTTTACTGAACACACGCAGACATTTTTTCATTATCATTCTTTGCTAAACAACACAGGATAATCACTATTTACATAGCATTTACCTTGTATTAGATATTACAAGTAATCCAGAGATGAGTTAAAGTACACAGGAAGGTGTGTGTAGATTACATAGCAAATATAATGCCAATTTATATGAGAGACTTGAACTTCTGCAGATATTGATATGTTTAGGGGGTCCTAGAACAAATCTCTATCTTGGAACAGAAACCAAGGGACAATTGTATTTAGATGCATGTGAATTAATAACATATGAGCAGTACTAATTTACCAGCCAGTCTAAGACTTCAGAGATCTAGATCTTTCACAAACAACTGATCATCACAGCATCTTGTGAGGGTGTCTGTTACGGTTTGGCTATGCGGAGTCCCCAAATGCTTCTGTGCCAATGCAGGAATATTCAGAGGTAAAATGATTGAACTGTGAGAGCTGAGATTTAATCAGTCCACCCTAGTTTAGATGGACTGACTTTGTGGTAACTACAGGAACGTGGGGCATGGCTGGAGAAGGATCCCTGGGAGCATGCCCTAAAGTGTGCATCTTCTTGTCAGCCTCTTTCCCCCATCTCTCTCTTTCTGACTGACGTGAATGGAGTAGGACTCCTCTACCATACCTTTCCACCATGAGGTTTCTGTCTCACCTTGGGTCCAGAACAATGGACTCCGCTGACCATGACTGAAACCTCAAGAACCATGAGCCAAAATAAACTTTCTCTCCTCTAAGTTGCTCTTGTCAGGTATTTTGATCACAGTGATGCAAAACCTAACACAATGCCCATGGCTTTGTGAGAGGGCTTCATTCTACAGGGCAGTTAGAAGAAAAGTGGGAGCTCACATGAAGTCAGCAGTAGTATTTGTATTCTGCATCTGTTGGAGCCTAGTCAGAAATCACCCCAGGTTTCTTGAACTGAGTAAATTTGTTGGAGGAATTTAACTGCAAAGATAATAGAAGAGCTGAGAAGCCAGAAAGGACACAGTGAGTCAATCCCAAGAGGAACAAGAATTGATATCTGCTACCATTCCTAGAGACAAAGGGACAGCAGAAAGAGATGGTGCTACCAGATCCCAGGGTTGGACTGCCCAACAGGGCCCAAGGGGGCAGCACAGCCAACAATGGACATGCTGACCAACTCAGGGGCTTTGGGTGGGGAGAAATGCCCTCACTTTTACCTTCTCTCGCCCTCTATTCTTCTGCTGGCTCCTCCCAATAACTGAATTTAACCAAAACTAGAAGCTAAGGGAGCCTAGGAAATGTATTTCCCTTCCAGACAGATAGGAGCCAGCCATGAATTTAAGGACAAACATGCAAATGACCAACTATGCTGAAATCAAGCATATGGGAAGGAATAGGTTACAAATATGGCAAAGGGAGAGGTAAGGTAGGAAAAGGAGGGAAGTGTTGCTGTGGGTCTCTGGTTAAAGAGGAATAGGTAGGTGCAAGAACTTTCCTCTGCTCATTCCTGCAAAGGGGATATTCTCCCTAAATGCCATAGTTTGGATCTTGAATGTTCGCCCAAAAGGTTCTTGTGTTAAAGATTTGGTCACCAACTTGTGGAGCTATTGAAAGGTGGTGGAACTCTTTGGAGGTAAGGCCCAGTAGAAGGTATTTGATCCATTGGAGCATGTCTCTGAGGAGTGTGTTGGAGTTTCAGACCCTTCCTGTCTCTCTTTTTGCTTCCTGGCCACTGTAAGGTGAACAGGCACCCTCTGCCACATGCTCCTGCAATCCATTTGTCCCCATTTAGATGGGGCAAAAAGTGGAGATCAGACATTATTTATGTCTAAGACTGATTTTCTCATCTTAAGTTAATGTTTTGCAAAAAGTGCCTA